GAATAGAATTAAAATGGAACCGTTTGAGAAGAAAGTCAATTTTAAGAAACACTAGAAGATCTTAGAAAAATTAAAAAAAAAACATAAAATTGTTAAAGTTAAGATCTTGGTGAGGTTTTGAAGCTTAAAAAAACAATCAGAATGTTGTAAAATAGTGTTAAAACCTTGAAACATTTTTGAAAAGATATAGAAAAATCAGAATTTTTCTAGAAAATATATAAAATGCTCAGAATCTGAAAAAAAATGAACACAAACAACGACGAAAACGAGAAAAAAACCTTGATAAAAGTCCTGAATTTTGAAATCAAAAATCTGGATATTTTTTTAAAAGAAAGACAATCTGAGTATAGAAGCGGTGTTTTATTTCGGTGAATAATAACAAAGATAATGAAAGAAAACAAGATAACCTTGTGAATAGAATTAAAATGGAACCGTTGTTGGTAACATTTCAATGCAACAGCTGTGGCGAGTAACTCGCGTTTCTGTGCAATGTTGAACGTGGTTTGTTTCACTTTGAGAGGTGGAAGGAGTGTGTTATGCAAGGAAACGGTGGATTTGTCGTCGGGAAAAGTATGCAAGGTAAGTCATCTTGGGAGTTTCGCAACGGAAAGGTTAGAGTTGAGCAAAAGTGACACTTACACTTTACGTTGGGATACAATCGCGCTTATCACCATGGCGTAATCTTTATCACAAATAACAATGTTATCACCAGAGATGACATATCGTAAAGTTGCTCATTAATGCTAAATCTGTGGTATTTTTCTCGAATTGTTACGACGAAGCCATTTGAAAGGGAAATCGAGATATTTATAGAGCAGCGACGCGGTTCAAGACTTGTTTACTATTCGCTATTTTTATTAATTATGCTATTTTGCTCTTTTGCGTAAATAAAAAAAATAATTTAAATTGCCAAGGAAAGTTTTATGGTGTAAATGTAAACACCTACGCCAGTGGCGTACCTGAAAAAGTATTGATAGGATATTGGAAGAAAATATTAAAATTTTAGAAAAAAAATTCTTGTTTGGAACTTTAAATTTTGCTTAAAATTAAAATACCTAAAAGTTGTTCTAAATAACTAAAAATGGAACTTTGAGAGCTCAAAAAACTAACCAACAAAGGATCTACTCTTAATAGTTTAGTGCCTTAAAAAAAGAATTAAACTTTTTAAGATAAGAAATTTTGAGAATTAGACCTAATGAAGTTTAAAAACTTAAAATTATGAGAAAAAGTACGATATTCAAGAGTAATGTTAAAATCTTGAGTATCAGTCTGATGAAATATGTATATAATTAAGATAAACAAAATTAAATATTAATAGTAATATAAAGATAAACAATTTTGGGTTTTAGAACTTAAAACCTACGATGCGTATTAAAGAAGTGTTTGTAAGATTTAAGAAACAATGTGAGATCTTAAAAACTTAATGAGGATTTAGAACTTAAAAAAAAACAGTGTTAAAGATGTTGAAAAAGAAATTTCAATCTTGAGAATTAAATTTCTTTGAAGTATTATCTTAAAATCTTTAGTTCTAGGAATTTAAGATCTTGAAGATAAGTAAAATTTAATTCAAAATGGATATTAAACTTTGAAAACTTAAAATCGAAAGAAAAAACTTACGATATTGTTAAGAAAAAAAACCTAAAGATAAACAATTCTGAATTTTAGAACTTTACAAACGAAATTCAAAAAAGTTTGAAGAATAAGAAACAATGTGCGAACTTAATAAAGTTCTAAAACCTAAAAAGAAACCGGTTATTATGTTGTAAAACAGTGTTAAAGATCTTGTAGAAAAACTTTACATCTTGAGATCAAGATTAAAAGACCTAAATTTTTTGAGGTAATACCTATTTTAAAATCTTGGCTTTGAGGAATTTGTGATTTTGAAGATAAGCAAAATTTCATTTAAAATGGGTATTAAACTTTGAGAACTTAAAATCGTGAGAAAAAATTTATGATATTGTCAAGATAAAAAAATTAAAGATAAGCGATTCTGAATGTTAAAACTTGAGGAACGAAATTCAAAAAAAATTGAAGGACATAAAGAAACAATGTGCGAACTTAATATATTTCTAAAATTTAAAAATGAGATGGTTATTATATTATACAACAGTGTTGAAAGTCTTGAAGAAAAAGATTAAATTTTGGAATCAAGGTTAAAAGACCTAAATCTCTTGAGGTACTTATATACTTATTTTAAAATCTTGTGTTTGCAGAATTTCAGATTTTGGATCAAAAAAAGCTTAGATACAAACTTAGAAAATTTAAAATCATGAGAAAAACGTATGACGTTGTGAGACAACATTAAGATCTTGAAAAATTAGGAAAACTGTCCGATGAAATATGTAGATAGTAGATCTTGAGAAAAATATTTAAAAGATTTAATAATAAAAAAATTGAGTTTTATAATTTGTGATTTTGAAACTTGAAAAAGATTTTTTGAGTCGATGTGTTAAATCTTAATATCTGACAGCGCAGAATCTTGAACAAAGATGTAGAAAATACTGTAACCAAAACGATGTTAAAATTCTGGGCCTTAAAACCTGAGATTTTCAAAATGGGTGTAAAAGTTTGAAAAGAAAGTCAATTTTAAGAAACACTAGAAGATCTTAGAAAAATAAAAAAAAAACATAAAATTGTTAAAGTTAAGATGAGGTGAGGTTTTGAAGCTTAAAAAAACAATCAGAATGTTGTAAAATAGTGTTAAAATCTTGAAACATTTTTGAAAAGATTTAGAAAAATCAGAATTTTTCTAGACAATATGTAAAATGCTCAGAATCTGGAAAAAAATGAACACAAAAAACGACGAAAACGAGAAAAAACGGTGTTAAAACCTTTATAAAAGTCTCGAATTTTGAAATCAAAAATCTGGAAATTTTGCAGAAAATCTAATTATTTTCTAATCTTGTGTTAGATCTTGGCTTGTAACTTGTCCACCAAAGTCCGCCGCAGCAAAATCTACACCGACATCACCGAAACCATCAAGGACATCCCCGATGGCTCCAAACTCCTCGTTGGAGGTAACCCCCACCCTCTCAAATTTCCTCCTCACATGTTTCCCCCCCAGGTTTCGGCCTTTGTGGCATCCCCGAAAACCTCATCGCCGCGCTTTTGGCCCACCCCGCCCAAAACTACACCGTCGTCTCCAACAACGCTGGTGTTGAAAACTTCGGCTTGGGCCTCCTTCTCCAAAAACGCAAAATCAAAAGAATGATTTCCTCCTACGTTGGAGAAAACCCCGAATTTGAACGCCAATACTTATCCGGGGAATTAGAACTTGAACTCACACCACAAGGGACTCTAGCTGAGCGAATCCGAGCTGGGGGTGCTGGAATCCCGGCCTTTTACACCCCCACAGCCTTCGGGACTCTAGTACACGAAGGCGGGGCTCCCATTTGCTACGACAAGGATGGAAAAATCAAGATTGCGAGTCCCCCAAGACAATCGCAGAGTTTTGGAGGGAAAAACTACATCATGGAGGAGGCCATCACGGGGGATTTTGCCCTAATCAAGGCCTGGAAGGCCGACCCACACGGCAACTTGATTTTCAAGTGAGTTACTACTCATGGTAGAATTATCCCAAAAAAAATTTTTAGCAAATCGGCCCGGAATTTCAACCCAGCAATGGGCAAAGCGGCCAAAATCACCATCGCAGAAGTGGAGGAAATAGTCAATGTGGGTGAAATCGGGCCGGATGAAGTCCATTTACCTGGGATTTTCGTCGATAGAGTCATTAAAGGCTCAAAATACGAAAAACGGATCGAGAAAGTGTGTGTTAGTAAAGAAGAGAGTGACAAAGGGAGTAGCAAATCCCCTGCTGCCCTTCTAAGGGAACGGATCATCCGTAGGGCTGCTCTGGAGTTCAAAGACGGGATGTATGGTGAGTATTGTGATTTGTGGAACAGGGATTAAAGACGGGATTTGAAGCCAATTTGGGGATTGGGATGCCGATGCTCGCCTCGAATTACATCCCCAACGACATGGAGGTGTTTCTCCAATCCGAGAACGGGATTCTGGGATTAGGACCGTTCCCCACCCCCAAAAATGTGGACCCGGATTTGATCAATGCGGGCAAGGAGACTGTCACTGTTGTTCCAGGGGCGTCGTATTTTGGCAGTGATGACAGTTTTGCCATGATTCGGGGGTAACTCCTACTCTAATCCCAAAATAATAATAATAATGGTAATTGTAGGGGCCACATTGATTTGACCATGTTGGGGGCGATGGAGGTGTCCCAATTTGGGGATTTGGCCAACTGGATGATTCCTGTAACTGATTCCTCTTGAATTTTATTTTTGCAAAATTTGATTATTTTTCAGAAAAAGCTTGTCAAGGGCATGGGGGGTGCGATGGACCTGGTGGCGGCCCCTGGCACCAAAGTGGTGGTCTGTATGGAGCACAATGCCAAGAATGGGAGCCCCAAAATTTTGGAAAAGTGCACTTTGCCCCTAACTGGAAAACAATGTGTTGACATGATCATCACCGAGAAGGCTGTGTTTGAAATTGACCAAACCAAAGGTCTCACTCTTGTCGAAATCGCCGACAATGTCACACTAGACGATGTCAAAAACACCACTGGTTGTAAATTCGAAGTGTCAAAGGATTTGAAAAAAATGGGACAAATTTAATATATATAATATTTAATATATTTAATAATTTTTACAAAAAATACTTTGTTTTATTCGCGAAACTTAGCCTTGACGAAGGCCGGGAGTGGGATTAAATACAAAAACAAGTTGAAAACGATCACCCCAAGCGCGAACGTTGAGTAAAAATTTAATTTCTTCTAAGATTTTCTTATACAAAACCAAAAAAATCATTAAATTAGGTTAAAAATTACATTTTTGTTTCTTTTTAAGGATTTTTGCATGCTTCTAAGCTAGAAAGGCACTTATTTCGAGGAATTTAAAAAAAATAAAACAAAAAATTGTCAGATTAGGTTAAAAATGGTATCATTTGCGTCTTTCTAAAAAAAATTAAGCACTTTTGAGCTAAAGACATAGTTTCTTGTAAGATTTTGCTATACCGAACCAGAAAAATCACTAAATTGAGTTAAAAATGACAGTTTTTGTTTCTTTTTAAGGGTTTTTGCACATTTTTAAACTAGAAACGCATTTATTTTGAGGAATTTTTTAAAAATACAACGAAAAGTTGTTTAAATTAGAAAGAAAATAGTTATTTATTTAGTTGCTTTTTGATTTTTTTTCAAGATTTTGCTATACCAAACAAAAAAATTATTAAATTTAGTCAAAAATCAGGTTTTTTGCTTTTTTTGAAAGTCTTAAACTCAAAACGCATTTATTTCGTAAAATTTTTTCATTTTTTTTTTAAATACAACAAAAAGTTGTTTAAATTAAAATTAAAGTAGTTATTTATTTAGTTGCTTTTTGATTTTTTTTCAAGATTTTGCTATAACAAACCAAAAAGTTATTAAATTTAGTCAAAAATCAGGTTTTTTACTTTTTTTTTGAAGGTCTTAAACCCAAAATGCATTTATTTCGTCAAATTTTTTCGAAAGTTTTTTAAAATACAACGAAAAGTTGTTTAAATTAGAATTAAAATAGTTATTTATTTAGTCGTTTATTGTTTTTTTTTACAAGACTTAGCTATACCGAACCAAGAAATTATAAAATTCAGTCAAAAATCAGGTTGTTTGCTTTTTTTGAAGGTATTAAACCCAAACCGTATTTATTTCGTAAAATTTTTTCAAAAGTTTTTTAAAATACAACGAAAAATTGTTTAAATTAGAATTAAAATAGTTATTTATTTGGTCGCTTTTTGATTTTTTTCAAGATTTTGCTATACCAAACCAAAAAATTATTAAATTTAGTCAAAACACAGGTTTTTTGCTTTTTTTGAATATCAAAAACAACGGTTGTAAATTCGAAGTGTCAAAGGATTTAAAGAAAATGGGACAAATTTAATACATAACTTTAACAAAAAAATACTTTGTTTTATTCGCGAAACTTAGCCTTGACGAAGGCCGGAAGTGGGATTAAATACAAAAACAAGTTGAAAACGACCATCCCAAGCGCGAACGCGAACGTAATCCCAATATTCATATCAAAGTCGAGGATCCCATCACTGAAAATGACGTCAGTCTTGTCCCGTGAGTACCTCTCGACCAGAAACTCCTGCCCATTTGAGTACCTACAAAACCCGGAACTGCTCGAAGCCGCCGTTTCGATCAAATTCATGTTGGTACAATTGTGTTTCAAGTCGTAGGGAAGCGTTTCGAGCAGTTCCGGGATTAAAAAAGTCTGTCGATTGAGAAAAGCAGAAGCGTACCGGACTTGAGTCGCATACGTCAAGTAGTACAACCATTGTTGCAACCCTTTGATCGACCTGAAACCCCTGAATTAATCCCGAATTTTTCCGGGGAGGTAGTACCTCAAAATTCCCGAACTTAACGTAATGCAAATACAAGTGATGTAAATGCTAAAGATGGCGGCGGATAGGTGACTCTTGACCACCATCAAGATGGCCATGGTTTGCTGTTCGGCGAAGATGTAGCACGCCCATAGCACCAGAGCGAAGTACAGGTACTGAGTAGGGTCCTCGAAGCCCCCAATCAAGCTAAAAAAATTGTTACGGCCCTGGTACTTGATTGAAACTACTTACGGATACAGGATTGCACTAGCCGCAGCCACGGAAACAAAAGAAAACGGAATGGAGACTAGATTGTAAGTTATAAGGAAAAGGGCGCCCCCGTAGAGCCCCTCTTGCGATTCTTGGAAGTACCGGGTGCGAAAAACCGGATCTGAAACAAGTTTTAGTACCAGAGAGGGGGCAGGGTGAATTGCGCTCAGTTTTAGAAACAGGTATAAGGGTGAACTGCGCTCAGTATCAGCACAACGGGGCACCCATCCATGGGTTGGTGCTCCGAACTTTTAGGGAGCACTTCTTTGGGTGCACTTTTTAATGAGTACTAAAACACCCAGTATTAAAAGGTATGTTTTAATTAAAAAAAAAGAGAAACAAATAGATCGATCCACTTTTGGGAAATGTCTATCTTATAAGTTTGACCAAATTTTTTAAAACACTGTTTTTTTTCCTTTCGAAATGCAAAGTACATTTTTGCAGCTAAAAAATTAAGTTTTTTCGCAAGATTTTGCTTTATCAAAACAAAAAGTCATTAAAATAGGGTCAAAAATGACATTTTTGTTCTTTGTTAAAAGTTTTTGCACGTTTTTAAAATAGAAAACGCATTTATTTCGAAGAATTTTTTCAAAAATACAACAAAAAATTGTTTAAATTAGGTCACAAATGGTGTCAGTTATGTCTTTTTAAAAAAAGTGAAGCACATATTTTGTGATGTTTTTTCAAAAATACAACAAAAAAATCGTCAAATTAGCTCATTTGTGTCCATTTAAATAAATTAAGCACTTTTAACCTAAAAAATTTTTTGCAAGGTTTTGTTATATCTACCAAATCAAAAATCACAAAATTATGTTTAAAATTAAATTTTTTGTTTTTTTTTCAAGGGTTTCGGCACGTTTTTAAACTAGAGACGCATTTATTTCGAGAAGTTTTTTAAAAACACAACAAAAAATCGTTTAAATCAGCTGTAAGATGGTGTTATTTTAGTCACTTTTTGAGCTAAACACTTTCAAGACTTTCAAATCTTTAGTTTTTTTTTGTGAATTTTTGTAGGGTTTTAAAACTATAACGCATTGATTTCAAAAAATTTTTACAAACATTTTACTAAAAATGATCAAATTAGGTCAAAAATATGGTCATTTTAGTCTTTTTTAAACATTCAAGCACTTTTTGATTTAAAAACTTAGTTTTTGCAGAATTTCACTACACGAAACCAAGAAATTTCTAAATCAGGTCAAAAATGACATTTTTTGTTTCCATTTCGAACGCTCTTACACGATTTTTAACCAGAAACACATTTATTTAGAAGATTTATTCAAAAATATCTGAAAAATTCTCAAATTAGGCTAAAAATAGTGTCATATTTAATAATAATAATAATAATAATAATTTATTGACGGTATCATAACCTTTACAAGAGAAAAAAAAAACAAAAAAATAACAATAATACAACAAAAAAATACTCTAGACACAATAAGCAGTTTTTGGGCTAAAAACTTAGTTTTTTTTAAGATTGTGCTACACCTAACCCAAAAAATTGCTAAATTAGTTTTAAAAAGGCATTTTTTGGTTTTTTTTTTGTACCAGAAAGGGGGCAGGGTGAATTGCGCTCAGTTTTAGAAACAGGTATAAGGGTCGCTAATCCTTAAGGTGAACTGCGCTCAGTAGCATCACAACGGGGCACCCATCCATGGGTTGGTGCTTCGAACTTTTAGGGAGCACTTCTTTGGGTGCACTTTTTAATGAGTACTGAAACACCCAGTATTAAAAGGTATGTTTGAATTAAAAAAAAAATAATGAAAGAGAAGCAAATAGATCGATCCACTTTTGGAAAATGTCTATCTTACAAGTTTGACCAAATTTTTTAAAACACTGTTGTTTTTTTTTTCGAAATGCAAAGTACATTTTTGCAACTGGTTCATCCCTATTTTCTTTAGCCTGAGAATTTAATTTTTAATAATTTAATTCTTTACATCACGCTGAGAAATATCGACCGACCTGAGCGCAGTTCACACAGGGATTAACGCAATGTAGGTAAGTAAAAATTTTCTGAGCGCAGTCCACTGTAGGGATTAAAATGCTCCGCTTGAAGTGAGCGCAATTTTCAAACTAGGTCGAAAATCGACTACTTTTTGTTTTTTTTTTGGGCATTTAAGCATTTTTTGAGGTAAAATTTTTTTTTTCGAAAATATACCGATAAATTGCCAAGTGGGGTCAGAATGTAATTTTTGTCGTTTAAGCAGTTTTTGGTTATAATAAGTTTTTTCCAAAAATTTTACCATATCATACCAAAACTTCGTCAAATTAGATCAAAAATGAAATTTTTTGTTTGTTTTTAATGGTTTTTGCATGTTTTAAACTAAAAACGCATTTTAATAATTTAATTCTTTATATCACGCTGAGATATATCGACCGACTTGAGCGCAGTTCACATAGGGATTAACGCAACGTAGGTAAGTAAAAATTTTCTGAGCGCAGTCCACTGTAGGGATTAAAATGCCCCGTTTGAAGTGAGCGCAGTTCACCGGCACCCCCAGAAAGGGTTCGGTTGGTACTTACATAGAAAAATCGAGTTTAGGATTCCCAAAAAGTAGGCACCACACAAACAATTGAGAATCAAGCCGGTCCTGGTGACAAAAGTGTGTTGAAACATCTGCATGTCGCGGTAAAACAACCACAAAAAGAAGAAAAACAAAGGAACGAAAAACAGGCGGAGGAATAGTCGCAGTAGGCCGGCTTTCTGGATACTGAGGGTGGCCACCAACAAGCGACTGGAAAAATCAAGTGGTCGAAACTGGCGCTAAATTTGAATTTCCAACCTGTAGATGGTCCATCCGACTTGCCAGGCCCCAGGCCGGCCCAGGAGCAATGGTACTTTGTTCCCATGGCCCAACCCGCCGTCTAGATTATGGTTAGGGCCGGTGATTGACCCTTTCCGGTATGCCGCGCCCTCAATTTTGAATTTTTCGACCAAAGCAGCAATTTGGTGGTTGCTCTCCACGAAGCGTTCCCTTGATCTCCTGTCAACTGTGCTCAGACATACTGAGGAAGCGATTAATAAATTCGAAACGTCGCGTTACTCACGGTAGTACATGAGCGGGTTTTCGAGTTGTGGGCATGGAAAACCGATTGCGGTGAAATATTCCAGCATTTGACGAGTACCTCCAGTGTAGACGACGTCTCCGAGGCATAAATAAAGTACTCGTTCCAAAAAAGGGAACACGTCGGAACGGGGCTTCTCCATTGTGAGGATTATGGCCGTTCCGTATTTTTTCGAAGCGTTGGAGAGGATGGAAACGACGAGATAGGTGTTCAAAGGATCCAGATCCCAAGTGGGTTCGTCCAGGAGCAGGATTACGGGATCTTTGATCAGCTGGATCCCGATCATGAGGCGGCGGTACTCGCTCTGAGTCAGGTTTTCCGTGCAGCGATTGGCCACTTGACTCAGAGCCAAATCGGCCATCACTTGCTTCACTTTGGACTTTTTCAAATATCCAGTCAGCTGGAAAATGAATTTGTTTCAGTTTTTTGATCGTCAATAGCAAAATATGTCTTGTTTTTCTGTTAATAAAAAATGTATATAAATACTCGTAATCAATTCGAATATTTTCCAATAAAAGGTTGCTGTGGTTTGTTTTTTCAAGAATAAACTCTTTTTATTAATCTTTTGCCCTTTTCGACGTTTATAAGCATAATTCTGCTAAAAGTGAGCCTAAAAATTACTAAATTAAGGCAAAAGTGACATCTTTCTTATTACCCGTGCTGTTTAGCATGTTTTTAAGTGAAAAATGCATTTATTTGGAGAAAATTTTGTAAAAATAAGCCGAATAATCTTCCAATTAAGTGGAAAATTGACGACTTTTTGTCTTTTTTGAGAATTCAATCATTCATTCTTGAGCCTAAAATTTTTTTCGAATATATACCGAGAAATTTTCAAATACGATCAAAAATGAATTTTTGTCGTTTAAGCAGTTTTTGCCTAAAAAATTAATTTTTTCGCAAGATTTTGCTTTATCAAACCAAAAAGTCATTAAAATAGGGTCAAAAATGATATTTTTGTTCTTTTTTAAGGGTTTTTGCACGTTTTTAAAATAGAAACGCATTT